TTCGTCTAATTGGCTTAATTTTCTTGATTAAAGTTCTGAAATTATAATTTAGCTATGATTTTGTAGAGAATTTCAACGGGAATGTAACAAAAAAAAAAGAAATCGATTGGATGAAAACTGACAAAGTTATAGCAAAATTAAAAAAGTCCGTTTATTTCTGAATCACCCGTTAGTTTTTTACTGCGCTTCATATTCAGCTTTCTGTAATTTATGTATCTTCGAAAATTTCTGACATCAGCTGCTTGATTTCAGCCATTACAAGATTATTGCAAAGCCACTACTGAAGTGAGGAAAAGTACAAGTAGGGTGTAGTGGTGTTTTTCTTATAGAGTAGTCGTCGTCTTCTTATATAGTTACAATCAAGAACAAAACAATCTTCTGATGTAAAAGATAACAATATGTCAAGGAGAAAATAGATGTACAAATATATATTGAACTCAATAATCGGACATAGTAATAGTGATCACACGCAAGACAGTTACAATAATAGTCTTACTTATTGTATATACAATCAGTTAGTATTAAGTGATGATATAACAAATTTAAGACTATGAATAGTCAAAGATTGATTAAAGTAGTTAACTACGAATATTTATCTAGAATAATCTTATGTAGGCATAAATTAATTATTCTATTCTACACACATGTGAATTAAAAGCAAGAAAACTTTAGTATAATAAAAATATACACCAATTTTCTAAATGATCAGAACAATCACACAGTATTTACATCTTATTTCTTGCCAGTATTGTTAGATCTTTATGCATCTGTATCCAACCAAGACTCTATTTTTCTTACAACTGGCACGTAAAGATTAATAATATTAAAAAGGTTTTCTGTAAGAGGTAATGATTCTATATATCTTTAGTTGTAGAAATATGTACCTGAAAATGATGTTTTTGACAAATCTGAAATTCTACGATCATTCATTCTGTAAAAACATATGTTTTTTTTATTATCAAGATATTCTATTCTTACTTAATAATCTGTTGTTTTTCTCTTCTAAGTAAATATATCGTCAAAAAAAAATATGTACGATGTAGTTAATATCTTATTTGTCGCCTCTTTTACCGGATGGTTCATGATAAGCGTGTCATTTTTTTCCTGTAAAATGCTACTAACTCTTGACTCAAGAGAGCTGAAAATTTTTTCTTTTTACTAAAATGTAACCCTGACTCTCCTCAATCTATACTATGCATTTTCTTTGCTGGCTCCTAATGGTCACTGAAAAACAACTTTTTCACGATCGAGTATCACTTTTGAAATATGAGGTTCTTTCTGGAAAAAATTCATAACTCAGGCTAGGAACATCATTTTGAAATATATGCGGGGACACGAATCTGAGAAACTAAGAATCGACGCATACGCGTACATTAGGAATATTACATAGTATTCTAGAACATTGAATATCGAGGCGAAAAACTAACGAAATCCCTCCCCAACTATTCTCCCCAAAAAGGGAGAAAAATAAATGTATGTAGGTATGTAGCGATTGTAAGTAAAAATTCTAGGAAGTCTTGGCTATTGTGTGGTGAAAAAACCTGTAAAACCTGTAAAACGTGTAATTAAAAATGTTTTGCATCTTTTGATCACAGTATACCTATACTTTTCCGAAATTGACACCAGTATATTATATTATTCCATTTAATTGTTCGTCTTCTATTATCGATATACTAGTGCTAGTCCGCTGTCCAAATTCTAATTTTTGTTGTTCAGCTTCTCGACGTAAATATGGTCCATTATAAAAAAGGAGTACAATTGTAGTACATATAAATAAACAAAATATGAATATAGACGATGATGTGAATATTGTTGTGTACTTGAGATGTTTTTTAATTAAAGCATCTAATATAAAAATGAAAATTCCTCCTAGAATATTCCCAGAACACATAAGTATACCATTTGAACATGCTTCGTTAATCGGAAACGTACATTCGATCGAACACTCAAATACTACAGGTAGTAATGGCAAGAGAAATAAACCCATTAAACCGAAAGACACTGCTAGAGGATAATACATGTTTGGTCTTAATATCAAAAGAAAATAAATGCCCGAACAAAAGGCTAAAACTATTAATATTTTGAGTATTAAACGATAAGAGTGTGTTTTATCCATGAGAACACCGGCGATTCCCGCCCCAATAAGACCAGCGACGATTATAATTGCTCCAAAAATGCCCGCATCACTTGTGGTATAACCACACGGTCTAATTATTTCTTCTAATAATGTAGTAATTGCACTAAATAAACCTAAACCGATTGAAAATGAGAACAATAACATGAGAAATTGTTTATTCTTTAGTAATTTTACACAATCTTTCCAAATATTTGACATTACTGTTGTTGGTGATGATGACATTGTTACAGCTGGTTTTTGTGAACGTGACGGAGGTGTAGGAGGAGACGATTTATAGAATAAGACAATTAACAATGTTGCCAATGTAATAAAACCAGCTTGAACAAGCAATAATATGAGAAATTGCTTGTACTGTGCATCAATAACAATAAATGTTGGCATTAATGAACCGATGGCTATACCCAGTGGATTCGCCATTGTAGTGATCGATGTAGCCAAAGCACGTTGATTTCCTGAGAACCAACGAGCGGAAAACATGGCACAAGTACTGGTGAAAAATGGTTGACTCAAAGCAGGAAATATTTGACCAATTACTAACCATGCATAGCCATTTGTTGGAGAGATTAAGGATAATAAACGAAACCATGTGCCAAGATTCATTAATGAACCGATGATCATCGCTTCAAATGCAAGAAAAAGTTATATGACAGTCAAAATGAAATAGAGTATAATATCTGTGACTAATTAGGATAGAAAACAATGAACATCTGCTGCTGTCATCATTCGATGGTCAAGATTCTTCCATAGGCGACCGAACTTACGCAATTCTATAGAAATCCTATATAAGGCAGTTAATGGAAATGTGTAAGATACTGATAAGATTCTTATAAGATTCTGGTAAGAATCTGGTAAGATAGATTATATAATTAGTCTAGAACAGTTCATAAGATTTTGATAAGTTAACATACGAACTTTTATTTACATCAATTAAAGCGTTTGGCTATATGCAAACTAAATGGGCAACCCTGCATCATATAGGATCGTACGAAACACAGGAAATCGTTTAGGAACCTATCAAATGCTATGAATTCATATATAGAATTACTAGAATGTTGTCAGAATTATATTGGGAGAGATTTATATTTTGCTAGAAACAACTCATTAAAATGTTTTTCGAAGATACATTTTCTGTTGCAATCAATCAAGAAATTCTTTTCTTTGATCACTGATTATTGAACGATGAGTCATGTTAGTAACTGTACATGAAGTTCTTTTATGATTGCTTCTAGTGCTTTATTGAGACAGGTACGAAAAGAGTTTTGATGCATATTAGTAAGGTGCGCCAAATTCAAACTTCGAGCAGTTGATAGATTTGCTTT